CGCCAGAAACAGCTGGGACAGCACAAGTACCTCTAGCAGGAGCACCCGCTCCAGCAGCACCTCCAGCAGCTCCAGAACCTCCAGCAGCACCAGGAGCACCCCCGGCAGGACCGCCAGTGGTAGTCTCAGCGCCAACACCCTCAGCAGCACCAGCGCCAGTCGAACCTGCAGGCCCAGCAGCTCCAGTACTCCCAGGACGAGCACCTCCGGGACCCGCGACAGCAGCACCCTCAGTAGCCGACGAACGTCCAGCACCAGCAGCACGGCTCCAGCGCCATGCAAACCACTCGCGCAGCTCCTGTGGAGAGAGTGGCTCCCTGCGAGACGAAGCACCCGGAGAACCTCCAGGCGGAGCACCTCCAGGCTCAGCACCCCCAGGTCCAGCACCCCCAGGCAAAGCACCCCCAGGCGTAGCACCCCCAGGCTCAGCATCCCCAGGCTCAGCATCCCCAGGCTCAGCACCCCCAGGCTCAGCACCCCCAGGCGTAGCACCCCAAGGCTCAGCACCCCCAGGCTCAGCACCCCTAGGCTCAGCACCCCCAGTATCCGAAGAACCTCCAGCACGAGCAGCACGGCTCCAGCGACGGGCAAACCACTCGCGCTGCTCCTGTGGAGAGAGTGGCTCCCGGCAAGACGAAGCACCCGGAGAACCTCCAGGCGGAGCACCTCTAGGCTCAGCACCCCCAGGCCCGGCACCCCCAGGCAAAGCACCCTCAAGCGTAGCACCCCCAGGCTCAGCACCCCCAGGCTCAGCACCCCCAGGAGCACCAGAGTCACCAGTGACCTCGACAAGCTCGACTGCGTCTACCTGTGACACACCTGAAGGGGCAGGACCCTGAGGGGGGAGGGGGTCTACCTGGGGGGGACCTGGTACAAGGAAGAGCGGGGGCGGGGGGAGGGACGGAGTGCGGTAGGGGAAGAGGCGGTAGTAGGGGACCGACTCGTCAAACGTGACGTCCTGGGAAGACAGAACACGGCGAGAGGTGGGGTGGTAGAACTGCCACCCAGGCGCGTCAGGGGGGAACCCCAGGAAGACGCAAGGAGCAGCACGAGGGGACAGCTTGTCCGCAGACAAGTCGCGGACAAACGCCCGAGATCCCCAGACCCGGAACGCCGACGCATCGCCAACCTTCCCCGTCCACAGCAGGGCTGAGGAGGTCTCCGGCTTGGAGACCCTGGGGTGAAGGTTGAGCTGATGCGCCGCGTACCTCACCGCAAACGGCCACAGAAAATGGGGGGCAGCCGCATGCATCATAGACGTACGAGCGACGTCCATGACCATGCCAATGCGGCGCTCAGCAATCCCATTTTGCTGCGGAGAGTCCGGAAGCGTGAAGGTCTGACGGATGCCTCGTGCGCGACAATAGGCTCTCAGAAGGCCAGAGGAAAAATCTCCGCCTCTGTCCGAGTGCAGACGCAGAACAGGAAAGTCCGAGCCAAAGCTCTGCCTGAGCTGGAGACGAGCTGCGCGGATCCAGTCGATCAGCACCTCAGTAACATCACCCTTGCTGCGCAAGGGGAAGACTGCGGTATAACGCGAATAGTCGTTAACAACTAGCAGGAAGTAGCGCTCGTGACCCTGTCCACGGACGCGGGCTGGGCCCCACACGTCCATGTGAAGAGTCTGCAACGGGGCCTCTGTCGGAGGAAACTGGGAGGAGTGAGGGGCAGCACGCTGGCGCCCCTCGACACAGGGGACACAGGTAGGGCCAGGGCCCTGAGGAAGGGGAGGTAGGGACCGGGGGAGACCAGAAACAAGAAGACGAGAGGCCATGCCTCTGAGCCGAAGCAGAGAGGGGTGACCAAGGCGGTGGTGCCAGAGGAGAGTCTCGTGAGACAGGAGGCGACACGAACAGGGGGCAGACTCAGGACCAGACCTGGACGTTGCAGCAAACACCTGACCCGACGCAGCTACCCTACCAGACTCAGCAACTGGAGGAGACGCAGTGGTCAGTTTGTACAGGCTCGACCTCGGCCGACGAGTAAACGTGGCCAGGTGTCGGCCTGTCCGAGCGTCTGTGCAGTGGGTCACCCGCTGACTCGCAGGAGTGAACTGGTGAACCCCCGCATCCTGCAGGTCAGCACCACACACCAAGTTTGTAGAGAACGAGGGGAGGTAAAGACCAGACAGGGTGCCTGAGGGGGCCGCCGGACACGGGAGGACAGTGGAGAAGTGAGCAAGGACAGGGCCCCCAGAGGGGTCTGCCAGAGAGACTGCAACTGGCCGACCAAGCGGCGTGAGTGTGGTGCGGTCTCGAAAGAAGGAGCGGGAAGCCCCCGAGTCAAGGGTGAAGGTGTGAGAGGCCGGAGCCGACGCGGTACCTGAGAGAGCAGACTCACCCGCACCTGAGGAAGCAGACTCACTAGCACCTAGAGCAGCAGCCGCACCTGTACCTGGAGCAGGAGACACACTAGCACCTTGAGCAGCAGCCGCACCAGCAGCTAGAGCAGCAGGCTATATACCCGGGTCAGGTGGTACGCACAGGTGACCGGCACGGTCAGCACTAGTAGGCAATGCATACATGGCAGTGAGAATAGCATCATAGTCAAGAGCAAATATATCTACCCTCTGTCTAAGCAACTCCACCCAGTCGGGGAGCTCAGCCTCGTCGCCAAACTCGGTACGCCAGGCATCGCTCAGACGGGCGAAGCAGCGGGACGGTGTGTGACTAGGCGTCCCACAAGGCTGACCAGTCCGAGCACCAGTGCGAATCACGTAAGAGCAGCGAACAGAACTGAGAGACCCTCTACTCTGAGCGTACCACTCACGAAGCTGTTGGGGCGTGAGAGACGCGCGTGGGCGTCGCTGGAGGTGCATCTGGCCGCCGCCAGTAGAAGCAGAAGCAGGAGTAGCAGCAGTAAGGCAGGCAGCCAAGCAAGCAGCAGGCAGCGCGCTAGTAAGGCAGGGGCTCACCAGTGGTGGGAAGAGCAGGCTCGACGACTCGGCGACTCGGCGGCACGGCGGCACTGCAGCAACTGCGGCTCGGCGGCTTGGGCGACTCGGGCGGCTCGGCTGCTCGGGCGACTCGGGCGGCTCGGCGGCTCAGCGGCTCGGCGGTACGGCTGCTCGGCAGCAACTGCAGCTCGGCGGCTCGGCGACCCGGCGGCTCGGGCGGCTGAGGTGGCGCTGCGGCTCGGGCGGCTCGGGCGGCTCGGGTGGCTCGGGCGGCTCGGGCGGCTCGGGCGGCTCGGGCGGCTCGGGCGGCTCGGGCGGCTCGGACGCTGGACTGCTCAGCGGCTCGGCTGCTCTGCGGCTCGGCTGCTGGGCTGCTCGGCGGCACGGCTGCGGTTCAGCTGCTGGGCTGGTCGGCGGCTCGGCTGCGGCAGCAGGTGACGGGCCGGGACAGGCGGCGCACGGGCGGCGAAGAGCCGGGACAGGCGGCGTGGGGGCCGGGGCGAGTACCGCACGGCGGCGCGCGGCCGGGACGGGTAGCGCACGGGCGGCGTGGGGCCGGGACGGGCGGCACATGGGCGTCGACAGGCTGGGGCAGCTTGGGGCTGGGACGGCGGCGCACGGGCGGCGAGGGGCCGGGACGGCGGCGCGCGGCGGGGACGGGCGGCGCACGGGCGGGGTGGGGCCGGGACGGGCGGCGCACGGGCGTCGACGGGCCGAGGCAGTGGCGGGCGGCCGGGACGGGCGGCCCACAGTCGGCGTGGGGCCGTGACGGCGGCGTGCGGCCGGGACGGGCGGCGCGCGGGCGTCTAAGGGCCGGGACGGGCAGCGCGCGGGCGTCTAAGGGCCGGGACGGGCGGCGCGCGGGCGTCTAAGGGCCGGGACGGGCGGCGCGCGGGTGTCTAAGGGCCGGGACGGGCGGCGCGCGGGCGTCTAAGGGCCGGGACGGGCGGCGCGCGGGCGTCTAAGGGCCGGGACGGGCGGCGCGCGTGCGTCTAAGGGCCGGGACGGGCGGCGCGCGGGCGTCTAAGGGCCGGGACGGGCGGTGCACGGGCGTCTAAGGGCCGGGACGGGCGGCACGCGGGCGTCTAAGGGTCGGGACAGGCGGCGCGCGGGCGTCTAAGGGCCGGGACGGGGGGCTAAAGGGGCCACTAGGGGCCGAGAGAGAGGGGCCGCGTCGCCCGAGGCGGGGCTGCGCGCCTCGGGGCGCGCGCCAGAAAGAAAATCGCCGCGCGCCGCGGGGCGTGCGACAGATCGAGTAGCAGTGGAAGCAGTAGTAGGGCCTTAGGAACAGCTCCCACGAGGGAACCTGCTCTGATACCATGAGAAAACTGAAACGAGAATGAATCAAGTATGAATGAAGTGAGTACAAATATGAAACCCTAATTGGTTGTACCCCCTATGGGATACCCCACTATAGCCTACACAACAGCATAAGCTATAATGTTCTGACATTGCGGTTGTTGAGCTCGACTCTGTCCAGGGAAGGCGAGTTCTTGCCCTTCCAGTGAGCCATGGGCCACTCCACCTGGAAGAAAGCACAAGGTATTGGAAGACATTGATCATTACAGGATGGTGTTAAGCACAAATTTGCAGCATACATATATGAAAACCACTTACCACATGGCAGAGATAGCCTAGGCCAAGGATCTTCAGGGGGAAAGTTGTGGCTTGGTTGCTGCAGAAACCCTTCGTGACAGCCAGCACCAATGCCAGGCTAGCAAACGGTATGCCTTCAGCAGAGCAATGCCATCGTGAGCCGTATTTTCCTGCAAGGAAGGTGAAAAACCAATCGTCAGTGACTGCTGCTGCAATGGTGTATAGGGGCTTTACAAACACTCGATTAACTCACCATCCTTGAAGTAAGCCGTCCAGACGGCTGGATCTCTATACTCGGTCGGCCTCAGTCCGACCCGCTCCAGCTCGTGCCACCTTTCCTTCGCCACGCCACCTCCAGCGCCGAAGCCATAAAGCTTCATAGTCTTGTTCATAGTTTGCCGCTTGTTGGCAATCTTATCCATTGCCTCGTCCTCCTTCATCTTGTCACCTCCTGCCACGAAGCAATACAGGTCCTTGCAAACACCCAGCCGTACATACCTCTGCACCATCAAAGGAACCAGCAATCGGGGTAGAACTGCATCGACTTTGCCGGCTCAGCAGTAATCATCATGACGTACACGGCGAGCGCATTATTCTGTTTCAGGGAAGGGAAAACAAAAAACAGATGAAACAGACGACAGGCCAGGGTTGGGGGTGACGGATAGTATCACAAGAACTGCACATCACTCTTACAAGCACAACACTCACCGCGAACGCCTCGTCATTGGACAAGCTGGTGGGAATGTGGATTTTCCCCTCCACCTTCGGCAGCTTGTCTATGTTGATTCGGGGGTCGTCCACGTCGTCAGGTCCATCTATTTCGCGCGCTCCGGATCGAAACGCCTGAATCTCATCCCGAAGCTCAGAAACCTGTTGTTGCAGCTCATCCCTCTCCTTTTCAATCTGCTGCTGCGTCTTTTGGCTGTACTACATCACCGCCAAGGTATTGCGCAAGTCCTCCAGCTCAGCTTCGAGTTGTCGGTTAACGGCAGCATGACGAGCATCGGAAACTGCAACGTGGGAAAATCTTGAGCAGCCGTTAGAAAAAAAAATACTTTGAGCGCCAGGTACTGTCATCACGCGCACACACAAAAGGATAGGTAACACAACTGAACTTTGAGGGTAGAACACACGGCAGAAAGCTCAATGACATAGACCAAGCTGGGGCACCAGAAAAGTGGTTACGTTTAAGACACACTACAGGTGACGCAACAACAGATTCAATAACATAAACACAAGAGTAAGCAACCAAGTAACATTACGTGCAGATCGGTGTCCCCGAGTCGGCACCACATTTCTAGCAGCGGGGGCTCCTGTGACGGCTTGAGCATTGCCAGCCGTGGCTCCAGCGGAGAGCTCCACGTTGCCGTCGGAGCCTCCAGCGAAGGCTTGAGCGTTGCCAGATGCGCCTCCAGTGACTAACTGCCCGTTGCCGTTAGCGCCTCGACCATCTGCTTGCATGTTACCAACACCGGCTCCAGCATCACCTTGCTCGTAGCCATTCACGGCTTCAGCGTCACCTCCCACCAGCACCGGCTCGAACGGCAGTTGCTGATTACCTCCTACATCTTCAGCAACATCATCCTCCTCTTCTGCCGAGTCGCTTTCCTCGTCGGTATCCTCGTCGCCACCTACGGACCGCCAGCCTTGACTTCCTCGCAGTGCTTCAGAATCAGCGGGGAAGGTGACGAGTTGACCATGGAGACCCTCGATGGTAACGGTAGCAGGAGCAGCTGCAATCATCTTGCTCGGTTCCTGATGCGTGCCATGCTGAAGGTTAATAGGCTCTGGCTCAGCTAGTCCCCCCAACTTACAAAGCGGCCTTCTCTTCACTGCCGTTCTAGCTGCTTTACGCTGCAACAAGCGCTTCAGCAAGGCCTTTTCGGTAAGGCCTGGCGGAAGCTTGATTGCCGGTTCACTCGGCAAGAATGGCGAGGATAGAGTGACCCCTATGGGACCTCGAGGTGCTTGGACTCTTTTACCCAAATCGTCGCCTGCCCGAACCACGCCAGCACTTCCAAGCTCCATCGGAAAGATGGACGTTTTTGGGGTGTTGCTGGCCGTTAACACCCCTTTTTACAAAGGGGGGATATGCTTTGGTGAGTGTAATGAGCGCGATTACAAATTTTAACAAGCTGACCGCACGCAGCACATTGAGTGTTTTTGTGGCAGGCGCCCAGGAAGAGAGTGGTCGGTAGATGCACGACAGTGCACGTTAGTTGAAAGAGAGTGGGACGATGTTGTTTTGTCGCCAACGCATCCCATCCCACCTTCGGGATCATACGGATTGGTAGGCGTTGCAGCAAGCCAGGATGTGGTTGACAGCACAGAAGGGACTGAACCTAGACAACACACATTCGGTAGCACTATGATTGGTTGGCTTGGCAGCAAGGCAAGATAATACTTGCGACGTGGCATGATCATGCTGAAACGTGACGCGACGTCGTACCTATGCGATAATGCGCCACAAATTTATGGGAGGCGAATATTGACTAGACTCTAAGTAAGGGTTGTTTATTGACATAGTTTAGATATAATAGATTTACAGCTGCTACATTTGACTTATACATGATATATTCTAACCATACATATAGGATAGGTTGCTTGAGTATTTAGATACGACAAGCAATTTCCAAGCTAGTATGGCCTTTAAGGAGGAGAAACCGAAGCGTAAAACTGATGGCAAGAAATTGGGGCACGGGCTAGTACTGAGTGACAAGGTCGGGCACGGGCTAGTACGCAACATGTCACCTCTTCATCATCCGGTTGTTTTTTATAACCGCCAATTATTTACACATTAAGGTAGTTCAACCAATTACCTTGCCCCAGGAACTTGTTTGAACTATTTCGCACAACTATACAGCGCGTGACGCTTCTTTGTGCGATCGATGGCCTGAAACTGTGCAATGATGGGCTAGTACGCAACATGTGATCGTTTCATGGTCTGTTTGTTATTTTAAACACCATTTGTTCACTCCCTTAAGTACTTCAACCAGTTACCTTGCCATAGGAACTCGTTTGAACTCATTCGCACAACTACGCAGCACGTGACGCCAGTTTGTGCGTTCGATGGCCTGATACTGCGCAAGGATAGGCTAGTACGCAACGTATCACCGTTTCATCGTTTGCTTGTTTTATATTGTGAATATTAGAACGAGAAGGGATTGACTAAGGAATGAAAGTGATACAAATATGAAACCCTAGAATTGTGTACCCCTTAGTATCTAACCCGCTACAGCCTACACAGGCTATATCATATAAGTTTGACACACCCCCATAGGCAAAGCGGGGGAGAACAAGGGGTCACAAGACCAGTCAAGCAAAGCAAGGCAAAGCAAGCTCAAGGTGGATCACAACGTCACCACACATTCTGAGCACAAGTTCAAGGCCACAAGGCCAGCTCGCATGCATGAATACACACATATATATAACACTAAACAAGCAAGAGCAGGTATATATATATGTAACAGAACAGGCAAGGTCAAGAAGTGAGCAAGTGAGGAAAGCTAGGTACAAGACCTAACAGAGTACAGAAGCGCTGATGGTCACAAGGCGCAAGTGCCTTGGTGAAGATATCAGCAGTGTTGGCCTCAGAGGCCACGTAAGCAAGACTCAGCTGACCGCACTGCTGCAGCTCACGGGCAAGGAAGTAGCGAATAGCGATGTGCTTCGTTCTGTGCTCCAGTCTCTGCTCCCGACACAAGGCCAGCATAGCCTTGTTGTCTACGTACAGAACTAGAGGAGAAGGAGGCTGCTCTCCTAGGTCAGTCAGCAGGTAGGTGAGCCAGCGTAGCTCCTGTGCAGCCATGGCCCCTGCGTAGATCTCAGCCTCACAACTGGAGACGAGAACAGAAGACGAGCGGGGAGACCGCCACGAAACAGAGCCGGAACCAAGGCTGAAGGTGTAACCCTGTAATGACCGCTGCGTAGCCTGGTCGTCAGCCCATGAAGCGTCTGCGTGACCAGTGAGGACCACTGGACTCTGCCCTCCAAGCACAAGCCCCATGCCCGACGTACTGCACAAGTAGCGCAACACCCTCTTCACTGCAGCCATGTGCTCCGGTCTGTGTCTCCCAGGAGCAACATAGCGTGCGAGAATGCTAAGAGGGTATGCAAGGTCAGGTGGTGTGCAGGTCATCAGGTAGATGAGGCAGCCAACAGGCTCTGGGTACGGGCCACTCAACTCTACGGACTCATCCGAAGGCAGAGCTGAGAGCGAGTGGCGAGTAGGCAGAGGAGTGGCCTGAGGCAAGGAGTACGTGAAGCCGAAGCGCTGAAGGACCTGCTGCACCATGTGTGACTGAGTCAGGGTAATGGTGCGGCATGCTGTGTCCCAGGTGATCTTCAAGCCAAGGTAGCTGCGCAGTTCACCCAGGTCTGTGCACGTGTGTCTCTTCTACAGCTCGGACTTCACGTGGGCGAGTCCAGCAGTTTCAGCTGTGGCAAAGATCAAGTCGTCGACGTACACGAGGATGTAGAACCGCGGCAAAGAAGTGTCGGTGCGCAGAAACAGCGACGGGCCGGCAGTAAGACGTAGGTGCACGGACCAGCACCCCCACCCCGCTGGCATGCAGCGTACCACTCACGAAGCTGCTGAGGGTGGGGGATCTCACGAGTGCACTGCTGCTGCTACTGCTGCTGGCGCTGACCACCACCGGAGCCGACCCTCTGCGCAGCGCCACCCCGACCAGCCCCACCTCCTCCGCCGCCGCCTCCTCCACCGCTGCCACCTCCGCCACCTCCGCTCCTACCGCCACCGCCGCCACCGCCTCCACTGCCGCCACCGACGCCCCCACCCCCGCCACCACCCCCACCGCCACCCCCACCCCCTCCGCCGCCTCCACCGCCGCCTCCACCGCCCCCGCTAGCTCCTCCAGCGCCTTTGCCCCGCTTGCCCTTGCCAGTGCAGGGTCTCCCGCTAGGGGCAGACGCCGCACCGACCGACTCAAGACCAACGAGGTCGGCCGCAGCAGCAGAGGCAACAGAGGGCAAGAGGGGAGAGGGGGAGCACCCCTCAAAGACAGGGGCACGAGGATCACCACGAGAGGCTCCTAAAGCGGCTATGCTCTTCTCTGCCGCTAGGAGGCGCTCCTCGAGGAGGTCAACGATGAGGGTGGTGGGGCAAACAGAGAGAAAGTGGTCCCGGACCGGGCGAAGGGTGTCAGGGAGCCGGGTGACTATGTAGTAGAGGGTGATGTACATAGGGGGGGGGTTCTTGGCGCAGAACTCAGCGGGAAGGGCAGCGCGATAACGAATGTCACTAGTGCGAAGGTGTGTAATGAGGTCAGCGACTGTGGGAAAAGCGGCGAGGTCAGGGAAGAGGTATGGCAGGATGAGGCGGCTAAGTGCAGCAGTGGCAGGGGAAGAGTAGCGTGCAACTACAGCGTCGTACAAGGTTCTAGCACTCTTACACTGACTAAAGTGTGCACGCTCAGCGGTGGGCAAGTGGCGGCGCACAACAAGACGTGCAGCAGCATCGCGTGTGGCCCACTGTGAGCGAACAGTCGCGTCAGCATCAGCAGCAGGGGCAGGAGAGGCACCAGAAGTGAGGTCAAAGAGGGAGAGACCGTCTGCCCTATCGCACTGTAGGAAAAGCTGCGGGTCATCTACCCAGACGTCAAAGTCAATGGCCCGACCGTCAGCGTCAAAAGCGAGGACACTGGGGGTAGCCATGAAAGCAGGCTAAGGGCAGCGCTAAGGGTGCTGCTCTTACCGGGCAGGCAAGAAGGACCGAGTGTAGCGTACAGGGCGGCTCGGACGGTCGGCGGCTCGGCAGCAACAGCAGCTCGGCGGCTCGGCGACTCGGCGGCTCAGGCGGCTCGGCGGCTCGGGTGGCTCGGCGGCTCGGGCGGCTCAGCAGCTCGGGTGGCTCGGTGGCTCGGGCGGCGCGGCTGCTGCAGGTACAGTGGCGGCTGCTGCTGCAGGGACGGCGGTGGTCGCCGCTGTAGGAGGCGGCGACGGCGGGCCGCTGTAGGAGGCAGCGACGGCGGCCGCTGCTTCAGGGACGGCGGCGGCGGCCGCTGCTGCAGGGACAGCGGTGGCGGCCGCTGCTCCAGGGACGGCGGCGGCCGCTGCTTTAGGGACGGCGGCGGCGGCCGCTGCTGTAGAGACGGCGGCGGTCGCTGCTGTAGGGAGGGCGGTGGCGGCTGCTGCTGCAGAGACGGCGGCGGCCGCTGCTGGAGGCGGCGACGGCGGGCCGCGAAGGGGCCGTAGGGGGGGCCGCGAGAGTGGCGCGAGGGGTTGTAAGGGGCCGCGCGAGGGGCCGTAAGTGGCCAGAAGGGCAGCGCGAGGGGCCGACAGGCGGCGCAAGGGGCCGCAAGGGCGGCGCACGGGGCCGACGGGCGGCGCGAGGGGCCACAAGGGTGGCGCGCGGGGCTGACGGGCGGCGCGAGGGGCCGCAAGGGCGGCGCGTGGGGTCGACGGGCGGCGCGAGGGGCCGACGGGCGGCGCGTGGGGCCGCAAGGGCGGCGCGCAGGGCCGTAAGGGCGGCACAAGGGGCCGTGAGAGGGGCCGCTAAGGGCGGCGCGACGGTAGGGAGGGCACGCGGGGCGCGACTCGGGCAGGAGCGAAGCGCGCTCCGAGCAGGGGAAAAAAAAAAAATTCGAGGTGGGCCCTAGAAAGCGTTCCCACTAGGGAACCTGCTCTGAAACCATGAGAAGAAACGAGGAATGAGATATGACTAAGGGAAAGTTGGGTACAAGTACAAACCCTAGAAAGCTGTACCCCATATGTGCTACCCCACTATAGCCTACAGCAGCTAAGTCATATAAATCTGTCAAGTTTCATCGTCTGTTTGTTATTTTAAGCACTGATTGTTCACACATTAGGGTAATTCAACCAATTAACTTGCCATCGGCACTCTTTTGAGCGATTTCGCACAACTATGCAGCGCGTGACGCTTGTGTGTGCGATCGATGGCCTGAAACTGCGCAAGGATAGGCTAGTACGCAACATGTGACCGTTTCATCGTCTGTGTATTATTTTACGCACTATTTATTCACACCTTTAGGTATTTCAACCAGTTACCTTGCCATAGGAACTCGTTTGAACGCATTCGCACAACTACGCAGCGCGTGACGCTTGTTTGTGCGATCGAGGGTTTGAAACTGCGCAAGGATAGGCTAGTACGCAACATGTGACTGTTTCATCATCTGTTTGTTATTTTATGCACCTATTGTTCACACCTTAAGTTAGTTCAACCAATTACCTTGCCATAGGAACTCGTTTGAACTCATTCGCACAAACACGTAGCACGTGGCGCCAGTTTGAGCGTTCGATGGCCTGATACTGTGCACGGATCGACTAGTACGCAACGTGTCACCGTTTCATCGTCCGTTTCTTATTTCAAGCACCATTTGTTCACAAATTTAGGTAGTTCAACCAATTACCTTGCCATAGGTACTCGTTTGAACTCATTCGCACAACTACAAAGCACGTGGCGCTTGTTTATGCGTTAGATGGATTGAAACTGCGTCAAGATAGGCTAGTACGCAACATGTCACCGTTTCATCGTCGATTTGTGTTTTTTAGCACCGTTTCTTCACTGATTCAGGTAGCACAACCAATTACCTTGCCATAGGTTGGGGCGTCGAACTGCTCTCTCGGCTGCAGCTGTCGAGTTCCCTGATCGACGGAGCCAACCCTGTAAAAGACCTGTGCATGTCGACGACCACTTCGTTGTCCTGCCCCGCATAGAAGCCCGTCGAGCTCTCTAGTCGACGGCAGCACCCCAGTGATTCACTGCAGCTCAATGAAGCCCGTCTAGCAGCTCCCTCATCGTAGACGGTCGACTACTTCTCCTGTACATCCAACCAAGTCGTCGACGTTTCACAAGCGATGACGGCACCAACACTTCATTCCCGTCAACACCCTTGGAGTGGGCACTCATAGGCACTCGTGCGCAGCGGGTGTGCGAGCATCCACCTCCCCATGCTGCATCGTACGGTGCGTACGCGTCGCCCCAACCTGCGCGCAACGAAGGCAGGTCGACAAGCAGGTCGACGGAGGTGACATATTCGGCAGCGGCGATGGCATGAGGAGGACGAGTGGAGTTATCAGAGTCGTCACTAACGGGGTCGGCGGTATACATGCGCGAGGACAATCGTCGACGGTAGTTGCGGGCAGCTCACACGGTCACGTCGCTGGAAGGTCGGCGAGACCGCATCACGTGGAGGAAGTCGACTGAGCCCGACTAGGAAATTGCCGGACTGACGTGTCCCGTCGACGACGAAGTGGTGACGCCGGACGAGGACGACGTGCACTGCGAGCAGAATTCTGCGCGGCTCATCTGCTGCACTTTGTAGTTATCTTGCGTTGCTGCTCGCCGATGGTGCTACTCGCTCTGAAGCCGTGTCGCCTTCGTCTGGACGCTGACCACGAGATGCGCATAGTGCTGTCCATTACTCAAGACTCGAAGGTGTTGGATTGACAACAACTCATAATGACACGGCGGGGTACCGTTGGACCGTCCTGACTCTATGGTGCACAGCATAGATTGTACCCCCCTATGGCAAGTTCCTTGGTTGAGCCATATGGATGTGTGAAGAAATGGTGACGTGTGACGTACTGGCCAATCATTTCTCAGCTCCAGGCCATCAAACGTACAAACAAGCATGGCTGCCTGACGTGGCTGAGCAAAGCTTTGCCTAGCAGCGCAATTCCCCATCGCGTCGCGTGCTGCTCCCCCACCCACTCTTCTCATAGTTCAGGTACACGAATCTCTAGATATAAGGGTACTTGTACACTTTCTAAAATAATATGCCTCACTGGTTACCTACATTGTATGTCCCTAAGACAAGGGCGTTTTGGACTTACAATAAATAACTAGTAAAGCCACTATTGTTATATAACCAGCGAGGGGTCTCAACCTCTGCACCCATCTCCTCACGCCAGGCGTCGTCAAGGCAGGAGAAGCAACGCTGCTGGGGGTGGGGCTTGCCACATGTCTGACCAGCACGCTCACCGGTGCGAATGACATACGGACAGCGAGTACCCCCAGACGTACCCCTCTGAGCCAACCACTCACAAAGTTGCTGAGGCGTAAGGGACCGCTGCTGCTGTTGCTGTCTCTGACCAGGGCCTCCACCACGACCGCCACCGCCTCCGCTGCCTCGACCACCGCCGCTACCGCCACCACCGCCACTCCCACCGCCGCCGCCACCACCACCACCTCCCCCACCGCCGCTGCCACTCCCACCAGCAACCCTCCCGCCACTGCCTCCACTCCCACCGCCACCCCCACCTCCTCCACATCCTCCTCCGCCGCCACCGCCACCACCGCCCTTGCCCCCCTTGCCCTTGCCGGTGCAGCGCCGCCCGGTAGAAGTGGAGGCAGCACCAACCGAGTCGGCTTCGAGGAAGTCTGCAGCGGCAGCAGTGGCGTAGGAGGGGGCAAGAGGGGAAGAAGCGCACCCCTCAAAGATGGGGGTGCGAGGAGCGCCACGAGCAGCAGCCACACTAACAATGCTGCTCTCAGCGGCTAATAGGTGCTCCTCTAGGAGGTCTATGGTGAGGTCGGAGGGACAGCGCGCTAGGAAGTGGTCCCTGACTGAGCAAAGGGAGTCAGGGAGGCGGGTCACTATAAAGTGGAGCGTCGAGTACATCGGAGGGGGGTGCTGGGCAACAAACTCCTTGCGGAGTGTGCCACGGACACGAGCGTCACTAGAGCGAAGGTGGGTGATGAGTTCGGCTACGGCAGCAAAGCTCGACAGCTCGGGGAAGAGGTACGGTAGCATGAGGTGGCTGAGCGCAGTAGTGGCAAGGGAGGAGTAGCGAGCAACTACAGCGTCGTACAGGGCCTTAGCGGTTTTGTGCTCGCCAAAGTGCTTGAGTTCCGCTAGCGGCAAGTGATTGCAAATAGCAAGGCGGGCAGCAGAATCGCGTATCAGCCAATGAGAGAGCTCGCTAAGGGCAGCTGTGTCAGCAGGAGCGGCTAGGGCACCGGAGGTGTGGTCAAAGAGGAAGATTGATAAAATGAACAAGAGTGATTGCATTAGGAAAGAGTTGGGTACAAGTAGGAAACCCTAAACTTACTGTACCCCATAGTAACTACCCCACTACAGCCTAAACAAATTGTAGCAGATATAACATTTGACACACCCCCATAGGCAAAGTGGGGGAGAGCAAGGGGTCACAAGACCAGTCAAGAAAGGCAAAGCAAGCTCAGGGTGGATCACAACGTCACCACACACTCTGAGCACAAGCAAAGGGCCACAAGGCCAGTCCACATGCAGAGGCATATATGCAACACAAACAGCACAGTGATCTCTACCTAGCAAGGCAAGCATGCAGGTATATATGTATATATATATATATATATATATCACAGTACAAGCAAAGCCTACAGCAAGTGAGGAAAAGTGGGCACAAGCCCCAGCAAAGTGCAGAAACGCTGATGATCACCAGACTGAAGTGCCTTGGTGAATATATCAGCAGTGTTGGCCCGAGTGGCCACGTAACGCAGACGAAGCTGACCACGCTGCTGCAACTCTCGAGCCAGGAAGTAACGCAGAGCGATGTGCTTCGTTCTGTGCTCCAGTTTGTGCTCCTGACATAAGGCAATGGTAGCCTTGTTGTCGACGTACAGCACTGGAGGAGAACGAGGCCGATCTACCAAGTCAGTCAGCAGGTAGGTGAGCCAGCGTAACTCCTGTGCAGCCATGGCTGTGGCGTAG